ATTCAAAACCCAATCTGTCTCATTTCAGAACCACATTGTCAATCACTACATTATCACTACACTGCTCAAATGAGATACATACATGTCAAAGTAAATAAAATATATGAATGGTATAGCATTTGTAAAACTAAAGAGTTTTGAAATACCATATTCATTATTATTCATTGTTATTCAGTTAATATTCTCTAGACTTTAAGACTTTTTGCCCCTGACAACCCCCAAAAATATCTACATATATATGGATATATTTTACACAGTGATTATACACACATGAAATATTTGTTTCATAAAACTATATTCATCCTTACTACATGTAATATATTCTGATTTATTCTACTCTACCTCTTTTTTTAATGCTGGAATTGATTTCATGACCCATAAATAGGTAGCATCTTGTCACAGAAAAAAATCATAACTCAATATAGGACAATAGGTGTATGTATGTTTGGAAATACAGACAGAGGAAGTATGGGCATCCTGTCATGTTAGAAACATACACAGACATCCTGGGAGAAGAGTAAGATATATATGTAGGAAATCACATATAAGGTATTTGGTAAATATGTTTTCACAAAACCTCCCGCAGTACTACTATTCCCCAACGTTTAGAGAAGCGAAGTTATACCACCAACATCGTAAGCATTATAGTCAATGAGCTTCCAGCCAAAGCTGACATTATGATTCTCAACCAACATCAAAGAATGGAAGCATGCCACCTCCATGACCTTCCTGATAAAGGCAGCTTACTGTTTGCAAGAAAATTTTTCTGAGCCATTTTTTTTTTTTTAAAGATTTTATTTATTTATTTGACAGAGACAGAGACAGCGAGAGCAGGAACACAAGCAGGGGGAGTGGGAGAGGGAGAAGCAGGCCTCCCGCCGAGCCGGGAGCCCGATGTGGGACTCGATCCCAGGACCCCAGGATCATGACCTGAGCCAAAGGCAGTCGCTCAACCAACTGAGCTACCCAGGCGCCCTCTGAGCCATTTTGATACGCAAATTTCTAAAGTATATTAAACACTGACCTGACTCCTTAAAAGGACTATACAGAATTTAGCCTTTTCAAGGACCCAGGGTCATACTTACGCAGACACAATGGTCAGCTGGTAGATAGGTCACCTAATTCAAATCTCCCACTTTACAGATGAACAACGTGGCGTCCCAAGAGGTGATGCAATTTGCCCAAAGTCACCCAGTAGAAAGGTCAAGTGATTCCCATTACACCATTCTGCCACATCTATTACTGTACTATGTCAAGCACTATCTAGGAAAGTAGTCACAATTTAGGAGCAATACTCTTTGTAACTTCTCCCATGTTTGTTATTTTGGTTACCTCATTTCTTTCTCCATAATCTTTAGCAATAAAACTCTTTAATCAAAAAGGATCTGTGTTTATCTTCTGCAGGAAAAATTTTAAGCTAGCCCACTCCATAGCCCATCTTAGGGAAAGAACTCCCAAAATATAATTGTGTGGTGTACTTCAGAAAGGAAAGGAATGCAGACTGAATCCCTATGTGGTCTTCAGAAAGCAAGAAGGATGCAACGAAAAGCCCACGTTGGCTTAAGAACAGTTCTGTGGATGTGACTATCAGGAACCCCAGTCTCTGAAAACAGGCAATACAGTAAACTTCACAAACGCAGGGACTAGGTTCTCAGTAAATGTGGGTTGAATACTCTGAAAAATTTGTCACTATACAAACTGGTCCCAGGCCATTTTACTGTTTGACGTAGGCTTGCACTTTAGGGTGTTTACCTCTTCCCTTTCCCATTAGGATATCAACTATCACTTATATCTAATGAAATCCCCAAACACAGCTTTTACAGAAGTTAAGGATGTTTCTAATATGCTCTGAGCATGCTGGAATTATTTCTAAAATAAGAATATGCTCTAAGTGAGGACCTGAAGGATTCCACTATGTAAGAAGCATGCCGATGTTATCACAGCTCTCCTAACTTCCATCTTGCCTGCTCTTCTGTTGAACTGTTGTCTCTGATGCAGATTGCAGATTACACAGATGTCACTTCCAATGAAGTGTTATGTTATTGAGACTATTTTTATCCTGAAACCAATGATACTTCTCTACAACCCATCATTCCAATGTCTTTTTAAATGGCAAAATGTCTTGAAAATGACAACTGTGTACCCAAACTGAAAGCCACTTCCTAGAACATCACTTACATCCAGTTTTGTCCTCTCCTTTAAGACTCCAGATGGCCCCCCTTCCTTATTCCATTTTCTTCTATATTTTTCACAGCTCAAATACTTGATTTTATCCCTCTGCCTTTGGGTGTTTGACAGATATTTCCTGTATTTTGTAATCAGAAAGAAATGGACATAACTAAGAAAAAACATACAAAACTTTATCTTACCATAATCTCTTCAAAACATGACCCTAAGGAAAATCTTGTGATATGAAAAGTAAAAAAAAAAAAAAACTAATTAATCAAGGACAAAGGGATTTAAATATTATCTACAGATGTTTTTACTTGAAGCAATTGTCTCGACATAGAGCTAAATCTACTAAAAGAAAAATTACATTTCATAGCCTATTTCTTCATGTTTCTGATACATGCATGATTAATTCTGCTTTTGTCAGTAAAACTGAATATAAGAAATGCTGCTTTTCCTAAGATTTACTCAAGCCAGTATTTAGTAATGCAAACATATATATATATATATTTTTAAGTAGGCTCCATGCCCAATGTGGAGCCCAACTGTGGGGCTTGAACTCAACGACCCTGAGATCAAGAGTTAGACGCTTAACCGACTGAGCCATCCAGGTGCCCCCAATGCAAACACTTTTAAGACTACTTTCAGCAAACTATTTCAGAAGAAAAATATTCCAAACACATTAACAATAATTCCAATTAAGTAACGACTAGAATTATTAGAATCATTTGGGAAATGACTTATCCAATTTTTCCGTTTTAACATACCTAAACACAAAGCTTCATAACATAAATTTATGCAACGTGCTTGATAAACTCAGAGTATGTTCCCCATTAAGTGATATGAAAAACATAACTTACAATTAACTTCAAATAAGTTCTTCCCATACTTTGAGAAATAATACTACCCTCACTGGAATAAGTCTAAAATGAATCTTTCTCTAAATACACCAGATGCCACCTAATGCAATTTTCTGTATCACTCACAATATCTTCCTACCTCTACCATAACGGACTCTAACAGGATGAATATAGTCCATACTATGAACTGAACCAGAAAGCAACTATTTAAGAATTAACGGCATTTAGTAATAGGAATTAGCACTCTTATCAATTAAAATTTGAATCCAGGTAAGAAGAATCTTATAATAATTCAAAAAATTAAAAAAAAAAAACACCCCAAGTTCCTAGGTAACAAAAAAGAAAGGCAATAATATAGAATCCAAGTATGGTATAACAACTATTCAAAAATGGATGTTGTTCTCCGTTTTAGGATAGACTGGAGAGAACATCCAACATCTGTTCAAGCAGCTACAGCCAAGTCATCTGCAGCCATGCAGTTTTCAGAATGGGAATAAACATGTCTTTGTTGTCCTGAGACCAATTACCCACATGCAACTAGAATAAGAGAATTTTTGGTTAGACAATACCTGAAAGACTAGCTTACCCTTTCTTTTTAAAAACAAGACTGAGGCTCAGAGAGATTAAGTGCCCTAGCAATTCAAACAGCTATTTGAAGGCCAAGCAAGGTCTAGAAACAACCTTTCTCAATTATTTCTACTAATATGGGTTAACTCTGAAGGTCTGAAGCACTGATTCTCCTTCTGAGATGGAATGGGCCTTTGGAAATTTACCAGCTGTGTGATCTTGAGTACACAGCAATCTTTCTAAGGCCCCTTTTCCTCGTCTGCAAAGTGTAGAGAATACCTACTCTAAGGAGGTTGTTGTGAGGATTACAAACAGCTTCTAAAGTGCTTAGCACATCAATTAGCAAATAATAAGCATTCAAAACCAGGTAGCTATTATTTTTACTCCGGCCCTGGAAACATGGCTGCCCCCACTGTTTGAGAAGACAACAAACTCCATTCGTTAACACAATGGACAGGTTCTCATCCACCAGAGCTTCTCCGACCTACCACATTCTGCAAACAGGAGAAAAGCCCTCTCAACAACCTACTTCACGCCATCTAAAATCCGCCCTTTACACTATTAAGAAAAACAAAATACCAACTGCTGCCAAATGTCTTCTGCCACGTGTTGTACGTTGAATTTGTCAACTAGAAATTGCAGGGGATTTTTCTGACTCCACCCAAAACACGGAGAATAAATGATGGGTAAACGAGGGGAAGATAAGGTCCCACACCTGAAATGGAATTCACAGAAGCTTCTCAGCTCATTTAGTTGTGAGTTGATAGGTGGGTGACAGAAAGCAAAACGCTATCTTTCAGCATCATAAAGCAGGAATGGCTAACTCAACAAAATACAATTCCCTAGGTTTGTCAACACAATAGAAAAGAATCCGTGTCCTTGTCCTAGTAAATTAATACGCACACGGGCAACAACTGAGCACCTTTCTCGAAAACCTGAGGACTAAACTGTATCCGAGCTGCACTACACCCTAGGACTACATAAATATATGAAAAATTCCTAAGAAAGGGCGAGACAATGATGGGGAATATCACCTCGAAATCAACAAGGAAGGAATCATGTCATGCCAAAGGCGTTTCCTTCGATAAAATCCCGACCCTCCGTTCTCATGACACTACAAACCCACCTCCCTCTAAGGAAATTACAGAATCACCCGCAGCAACCAACCTCAGCAATCGGCATCGACCAGATCGACCCCTACTCAAATGGCGCTAAGTACCGTGGGTCCAAGCCCCTCCCTGGAGCTGCCAAGTCCCGCGCTGACTCCACACTACCTCACTTCCTTCCCGTTCTCCCTCCCATCCTCAACCCCCGGCATTTCTCGCCAACCCTCACCACTGATAGAGAAGGTAGGAACGAGATAGATTTCCTACACTGTTCGGGGAGTACCAGAGCCACACATACCCGTCCCTATTACGATCACATCAAACTCCGAAGGGAGATTATCCGCCATCTTGAAAGGAAACGTGTCATGTGACTATTGCTTGTGGAAATGAGATCTAGTCAGGCGTTGCCCTGGTAGAAGGCGGAAGGAAAAACAGTGCATTCTGGATATTGTAGTTCTTGGTGGCCGGTCTAGATAGGCGGCTACAGCATTTTATTTTAAATGTTTACGCGAATGTTAAAAGCTCAGTTTATTTTCCAGGCTGAGTGCAGTAGCGCGTTTAGCCTGGAGGTTTGGGGTAGTAATGAGTTGGAGATTTTTGCTCTGCTAGCTAGGATGAATGGGAAAACCTGGGTGCCCCTTGACAATGATGAAGCAAGAATTGTTGGGATAGATGAAGGGCGGAATGAAACTGAAAGGGGATTGGTCTGTGAACAAAGGAAATTTTCATTCCAGCCCGGTAACTTGTTTCCCCCAGTGTGTGTGCACTTTCTTTTTCGCCCCCCGAGGCATAATTTTTCGCACCAATTCTTTCAAACTATATCCCGTATCTTTTTCGTCTCCATATCTCCCCAATGAAAACCCATGAAAAACCTCTCACCTTAGTTTCGCCACAATGAAACCTAAATTGTGTCTGTATTTGTTCTAGTTAGTCCACGCAGCCACCCGGCAGTATATTTTTACAAAATTGGCTTTGCTTTACAGGAGGGAAAAAAGATATGAAAGCATAGTAGTTGCTTGATAAGCGTTTATTGGTTCTGAATCTGGTTTTTTATACGTATACAAGGAGTCCATACAAGATTCTTCTGATAAACTGCTGCAGAAATGATCAAGGTAAAATGGCCTTTATATTAAAGTGATTGTATTTGATGAGGGGCTTTAGGGTTCATTGTAGTTATTTTCGTTATTTTACAAGAGTTTCAAAATAATTGAGGAGAGAAATAATTCCAAAAGAGAAAGTGCCAGTAGTTGACCTTCCCCTTACACCACCTGTTCGCCGAACTGTTTGTGGTTTCCCAGTCACACTGTTTTTCCTTTAGCATGGAATGATATTCCTATACTCCAGCTAACATATCCTTAATATTCAGTTCAGGTTCTACCACCTCCTCCTTTTATCTCCTCCCTATATTGGGTTAAATTTCCCTATGTAGTGCTAACACCCTGTCATAGCCTCCCATATTGCACTGAAATGATTTGCATTATGTTGGTTCCTATACAGTTAACACAGCCCCACACATACAAAAATATACACCCAGATATATAACAACCTAAATTTTAAGTCCCTCTATGACAGGCACCGGGCCTTACTTATCTTTTTACCCCCTGCATCTAATATGAGCCTGTAGCTTAATAGGAATGCCAGTCAGTGTTTGCTGAACTGAGTTTAGTTCTGACTCCCCTAATAGATGGTAAGTACTATGAATACAGGGACTAAGTCTTCATCTTTATATCTGCCCACAACTATCATGTGTCTTATATATTGAAGATGCTCAATACATGTTTGTTACTTTGCTGAGGTTCCATGAAAATTCTTTAAAATTGTATTTTACTGGGTTTGGGTTTTGTTTTGTTTTGCTGCATTTTGCCATAATCTTTAGCAATATTTTACATGTTTCATTAATTTCTTTTATGGACTATCTGAATGTATTGAACAATTCTCTTGTGATATGGTCCTCTGATGAATATTTTGTGTAAGATACTCCTCTGAGAAATGTAATGTATTGTTCAGTAAATCACTCTGCCATTTGCCTTGATATGAAAAGAAAGTTTTGAGTACTATCAGAAGTGAAATAGATCTTATCTATGAGACTCTTAATACCACCAGTGGAAATGAAAATTAATAGGTTTCCCAAAGTAAACACAGGGAACTTCAAAATCTCCTCTAACAGAAGCTATGGATGGGTGGTTAAAAACATGATAAATTAAGGTATCTCCATCTTACTTTGGCGATATGTGTATATGTGTGTGTATATATATATATATCTTTTTCAATATGAGTATATCTAACTTTCTATGGACTCAGAAATTTTCTAACAAATAGACACAATGTGAAGACACAACTTATTATTTCATTCAATTTTCCTTAAATATTTATTGAATACCTACCATGTGCAAGGCACTGATTTAGATGCTGGAATTACAGCAATGAGTAAAACAGACAAAAACCCCTGACTTCATGAAGTTTACATCTAGTGGGGTATAAAACAAAATAAACAAGTAATATTACTTTGTCGTGCTAATTTTCCAATATGTTTTGCCCCAAATAGGAAATCCCTTTTATTCTGAAGCTAGAAAGCAGGACCCTCGGAAAGATAAAATTGCCACCCTGTGTTTTAGCTGTCCTCTATCACACCCTCTCTGAGCATGAAAAATATGATTACGTTAGAAAAAATTAAAGCCTCTGCATGGAGAAAATGCTCAAAATACCTTTTCTGTCAAATGTATTTTTATAGATCTTCTGCAAAGTAAAGATGAATATAGGGGTTGATAATGTCATTAAAATAGCATGAAGCAAAGCAGCTTAATTGCTGTCTATTCTACTATTCTAAGGACATCTGTTTTTGAGAACTGAAATATTTTATTTGGATAAGTCACAGTACAATGAGATGAGGGATACAAATTGACTTACCCTGTTAAATCACTGAGATCCTAATTTTGTACTTAATGGTTTCCTGAGTTGAAAAACCATGATTCCCTGAACGTTTACCTTGTATTCAGAAGCTTACTTAACTGTGGGATCTGATGTGTCATCTTTTTTTACAAACCAATTATTTAATGGTCTCTATCCCTGGGCTTTCCTTTGAGCTCCAGATCCAGATATCCAAGCCCTTACTCAACATCTCTCCTGAACATGTCCAGGACCAAACTCCTGAACATTTCAGCCCCACTCCCAAACCTCTTCATCCAGTGTTCCCTACCTTAGAAACGGTACCACCTTCTAATCAGTTACTCAAGTCAAAAACCTTAAGAATTATCCTTGATATATCATTCTCTTTCACTCTTAACCCAATTTCATCAGCAAATCTTGCCAGATCTATCTCAAAGTTATATTGGAAACATATCCACCTCACAATCTGGACTGCCCTCATTATCTCTTATCTGGACTACTACAATAGGTCCCAGCTGGACCCCTCATTTATGCTTGCTTCCCTTCAGTCCACTGTCTACACTGCAGGTAAACTTTTAAAAATTCAAATATAGGGGAAAAAAAATTTTCAAATATAGGGGTGCCTGGCTGGCTCAGTTGGTGGAGCATGTGACTCTTGGTCTCAGGGTTGTGAGTTCAAGTCCTGCATTGAATGTAGAGATTACTTAAGAATAAAATCTTTTTTAAAAATTTCAAATCTAATTATGTCCTCCCCTCCCTAAAACTTGCATGATTTCCCATTGCTCTGAAAATACACTCCAAAATTTTAAACATGGTCTAAAAGTCCCGGCTGAACTTTCTAGGCTCATATACCTCTCACCTTTGTCTTTCTAAGCTCCAGCCATATTGTCTCTCCATTTTGTCTGATACCCCATGCTCCTTCCTGCTTCAGGGCCTTCATTCATGTTCTTCCATGTGCCTGAGGTGCACTTTTGTCCTTCTCCCTTTCTTCTACTTTAATCCTACTAATTTTGCAGTTCATTCAAAACATCACTTTCTCTGGCGAGTCTTCATCTAGTCCTCAGTCTGCCTTAAGTCTCCTATACTCCTCCTTTGTTGAACTTTTCATGATTGGAAATATCAAATTGCTTATGCAATTTCTTATTTCATATCTGTTATCCTCCTAGGATGTAAGTTACACAAAGGCAAGGACTGTGCCTATATTGTTCACCATTATATTTCTAATACATCATTCAGTGCCTGGCACATAATAGGCACTCAAAAATATCTGCTGAAATCCCACTTATGTGTATATATTCAAAGCAAATAAAATACTATCTCAAAGAGATATCTGCACTCCCATGTTCATTGCAACATTATTCACAGTAGCCAAGATATGGGAACAACTTAAGTGTTCATCAACAGATGAATGATATATATATCCATATATATATATTCCTTATATAAAGGAATACTATTCAGCCCTTAAAAAGAAAGAAATTCTGCCACATGTAATGACATGGATGAATCTAGAGAACATTATGCTGAAGTGAAATAAGCCAGACACAGAAAGACAAATACCGCATGATCGCATTTATATGTGGAATCTGAAAAATATGTATTTTTTTTAAAGATTTTATTTATTTATTTGAGAGAGAGAGAATGAGAGAGAACACATGAGAGGGGATAGGGTCGGAGGGCAAAGCAGACTCCCTGCCGAGCAGGGAGCCCGATGCGGGACTCGATCCCGGGACTCCAGGATCATGACCTGAGCCGAAGGCAGTCGCTTAACCAACTGAGCCACCCAGGCGCCCAGAAAAATATGTATTTTTAAGTCAAACTCATAGTAACAGAGAGTAGAATGATGGTTACCAGAGAGAGACTGGGGGTAGAGGAAAAGGGAACATATTGATCAAAGGATACAAAATTTCTGTTGTAACATGAATAAGTTCTGGAGACTTACGTACAGCATGGTGACTATAGTCAAAAATGTATACTTGAAATTTATTAAGATTATAGATTTCAAGTGTTCTTACCACAAAAAAAGGTAACTATGGGAGGTGATGGATATGTTAATCAGTTTGATTGTGCTAATCATTTCATATCATATATATCAAAACATTACATTGTACACCTTAAATATATACAACTTTTATTTGTCAAAAATAAATGATTTTTTAAATCTCTTGAATGAATGGGTAAATAATAAAGTACAGGAAGTCTTCAGGAAACCACACATGAGTACTATTTTAAATGAGAATAAAATGAGTTGATTGCCCAGTAAACTTATTTGATCAGCTGGTTTTGTGTTTATAATTGAACAATACACATGTGGTTAATAAACAATCCAACTACCGGGGCGCCTGGGTGGCTCAGTTGGTTAAGCGACTGCCTTCCGCTCAGGTCATGGTCCC